CTTGCAGGGATAATTTTAGGAATATACCTAGCATTATGGAATGCTGAAGGCATGAGCGGAGACACTCAAACTAATCTCTAAGTTTTCATTAGCATATTGTAGTCGGCTTTCTATCAAAGCTAAACAATTTCCAGATGGCTGGAAAATGACCGGACATGAGCGAAAAAACTCTTTTCCCCGTAAGGCTCGTGTTCGTTGGGCTACCCAGCCATTTTCTTACAAAATGCGGTGTAGTAAAGATAGAGAAATGTGGTTCTTTCCTCGCTATTAAGGGAACCCTCGTACTCGTTAAAGAATTTCAAATAGGGACTTTTATAAGCTTAGTATTAGAAATGGTTACAATTATGGCTTGAACCTAATTATAAACTTACACATTTATATTATTGCCACGGTCAAACGTCAACAAAATCGTATAACAATAATACCAATCAATATATAGTAACAATAACAATTTTAGATTTACTATAGCAAATATGATATTGTTTTCTCAGCTATGCGAAACTTCAAAATGCTAACATTATCTTAAGAAGAGAAATTACGAGAAAAATGAATTATTTAATATGGAAAATCCACTATACTGTACGCCAAAAATGTTTTCGGATGGAAAGTTCAGCTGTTTGTCACCATTGCGTAAACGCTATACGTGAAGAGTCAAAGAAAAGTTGGGGAGGTTATAAAGAAGGGTATGGGTTACCTTTATGCTTTACCTGACATGAAATGGTAGCAGAGTTGGATTGTTTGAGGGAGCTTGGCAAGTAATAACAGCGCTTTGCCATTATTCCAAATAAATACTACGCTAACCACTATAACCATTTCTTCAAGGAGCAATTTGAATTTGCAAGATATATTTCGGATAATATCTTGACTTTTAAAAGACCTTAACCGAGCTACTTACCACTGGGTTGTCTTCGTTCTTTGTCTTTTCACGATCGAGATCCATTCCAAATTTGCAGATCCTCGCTCAACATGAAGCTATTTTACGAGATGTTTATTAAGTATGGCGTTGTCATGATAGATGGAGTCCAAGCATCCACTCAAGCGACTGAAGCACTTTGCAAGAGGATCGCTCCCATTCACGACACGTTCTTTGGTGCATTCTGGGTGTTCAGCAACCGGACACAGGAAGACGGCGTACGTGTTTGTGTCGGCTGTCTTAATGTTGTGCATCGATCGGTTATGCGTTCGATAATGTCTACAGTTTTGCACTTTTAGCAGGAATATCATGAAGACACCGCATATGGGAGCGAACAAATAGGACCACATACGGATGGGACTTATTTTGATCAAGCGCCGGGAATACAGGTCAATTTAGAAGTTTAGAAAACTGCAACTTACTTTACTTCCACTTTTCAAATCCGTACTTTCTTGTTTA